GACGCTACATCCTACAATGGAGTCTCGACTAGGGGACAGAATTAGGGTACTCCAAAACCATTGTTACCTACGGGTTATCCCTGGCTAAGATCTATCTAATACCTGTTTGCCCCCCTACCAGGGTTACGGTATTTGTTGTTTTGTTTTGTGTGTGTGTGTGTGTTTGGCGGCATTGGTATGTGTGTACGTGTGTGTAACTCATCTAGGTGGAGGGTCGCCGGATTATTAACATGACTGAAAATAGGGATAATTGTAAGCAGTATGTGATGTTTGAGTGCGTTTCTCTGTCTGTGTGCGTGTGTGCGTGTGTGTGTGTGTGTGTGTGTGTGTGTGTGTGTGTGTGTGTCTTGGCGGGGAATCAAATCTGTACTTACCACTTCAAACCAAGCATGCCGCCATGTTCTTGATCAGGTAGAAATTTGTGGGTGTGTTTCCTTCCTTTTTTAGGGAAGAGCGTGAGCTGCACTGAACCGGAAGTTATCCGGGATTGGACAATAAATTGCCAAGAAGTGTCGTGTGATTTGTAGTTTGGAAGATGGAAAAATTGTAGCTGACGGAAGGTACACATATATATACACACACACACACACACACACACACATATATATATATATATATATATATATATATATATATATATATATAGAGAGAGAGAGAGAGAGAGAGAGAGAGAGAGAAAGCGAGAGGTTCATACACACATATATAGTGTAATTAGTTAGCAATTGTTCTACTATTTTTATAAATTTGGAGTGGGTCCCCGTCGAATTCTGATTAACACACTAGCCAATAAAACTATGAATTTATTGAGGTTGATTCAAACTGGGTAACAATTACCCTATGTATTTTACCTAAATGTTCTCAGAATATCCGTGAGCGCTGACTAATGTACTGATTATTTTTAATATTAGATTAGGTAAAATACTGACTTTAGTTACCTTTGTATTAATTTCTAAAAGTTGTCTTGTAATGTAGTGGACTTTCGTACCAGAATGTATAGATTTGATTTTATCTTTAAAATACAAAAGCTCTTATTCATTTCTATAAATCATTCCATATACTACCACGTCAACGAAATGCATTATAGTCTCAAGTTACATTCATAAACCCCTGTGCATTATGGAAAGCTTTGTGTTTGTTGAAACTGACATCATAGAACATAAGATTTCACAGAAGCCTATATATAAATATATGAAAGTTGGCTTCTGAAACCGTTATATACAGGATACCATTTCCTTTCTTTTCATTACACTTGGAACACAATTTTCGTTGAGTTAGGATTCACACTTGATTTTGACTAACTTTTCGCTTCTGAATCCAACAAATGGCCACAGTTTTTTCCCTATCACGTAAGATTTGCATACTACAGGATACCCTCACTTTGTATAAAGAGACATAAAATACTGTATATAGTATATTTGGTCTCATTTTATTGTACGGTTTAAAATTTTCATGTCATGGAAAATAATAAGGCATTGCTAGGATGTAATATTTCTACAATTATATTTTGTCCATACAAAGGATATTATTACTGTAACTCAACTGGTGCGTAACGATTTATGGTAAAGACTTACGCCTATAGCACTTCCTGGAATGTACAGTTTGTAGACAATCTCGCTTTATGCTCCAACATTAGTCAGCCATCTTATTTACTTACCATCTACCCTGTTACTTGACCTTCAAATCATGGTGGAATCGTTCATCGCTGACTTCACCACTGTTTTCCAGGAAGTTAGGAAGATGGCTGTGCAGAAAATAAAACTTGATGCTCATTTTACATCCGAGGGCTTTCTTTATGGAAAATTTCAGTGTAATTGTTTGCTCGGTTATTTCCAAGAAAGTTCTTGACGGGGTCTTTGAATGATGACTAACCATTCTTTTCAAGTTCTGACATTGTACCGTTGAAATGATCATCTTTAATTTGGTGCCGAATCTCTGGACCATCAAACACAGCAGCCTTGATTTGTTTTTCAATTGACAGACCAGGAAATGCCAAAATGAGGTACTTAAAACAGTTTCCTTCAGTTTCCAATGCTTTAACGAATTGCTTCATCAAACCCAGTTTAATGTGCAGAGGTGGGAATAAAATTTACTTTCTGTCAACGAGCGGATCATGTAAAATGTTGAGATCGCCAAGATTGAGGTCAGGTCTTGGAGGTCATTTCCTCTCCACCCAATGCTTCTCTCGATCTCTCTTATCCCAAATACATAGAAAGGATTGATATTTGGTGTAACCGCCTTGCTGACCAAGACGGAAGTATACCATTTTAAGCTCAACTCAGATAATTCAATTCTGTTTGTGATATTGCAACAAATTAATGACCCTCTGTATTTCTCTATGTGCTTCATGAAGACAAACTGAATGGCCAGTTGGGACAGCGCCATTGTGAAGAAGAACACACATTAAGCTACGCTTTGAACTGTCGATAAAGAGTCCCTATTCAGTTTTAGTTGTGCATCAGAATTCCCAGTTTCTGCAGTAAACACTGTATGTTATAGCAATATAAAAAGCTACTGTCACTTCGAAAATACTGTAGAAATGAACTTTCTTTAGATCGAAACTAGCACGTTTTCTTATTCAGTCTGGCAGTTATCAAGCCATTTTGACATTCCATGTTCCTGTGCCAAATCATTCAACTCATTCGGATCGAATCACGAGCTGAGTCATCTTTAATTTGAAAATCTGCATCATGGCTGTCACGGAGTTATCCATCAGGACCCAGATCATCAAGAGTGGGTAGTAGAGCGAAAACTGGTACTGGTATTTCAGCTTAATAAGATAATGGACGTACAGCTGATGGTAGAGATGGATACTCGATTTTGTATATGTTTTTTCTTGTTATATCCTGAAGTTTTCATGAAGCAAATGTAACAGTCCGTGCAATAATATCTTGGCTCTCGCGAAATCATAGGTCTACCAAATGTCAATTTATCTCGTGTTCCATTGGTTCACATTCGTAAATTCTCGACACACTACCTGTACACTTTTTGAGGGGCCCAAGACATGGCTTGATCGGCAAGCTTTACTTTAAAATATGCAAAATAGGCTTGCTTGACAAACGTGCTGATGTCTGCCCTTTGACTTGGAATGGGGAAACTGACACATATATAACAAAATGAAACAGGACTGTTTAGGCACTTGTGACAAGTAGCTGAGGCAGACATTATCTGAAAGTATGGAAATAAGTATTACAGTAGACAATAAGTAGACCAGTCACAAGCTTTGTAAAACAACAAAAACACAGTAATATCGTCTAGAAACTTGTATACAATTTTTCTTTTTCTTTTTTTTTTTTTTTGGCAGAATACGACTCACCTATATAGAACACAGACAACATCTCACCGCATTGTTTCATGTGTAACTGAATAGGCATCAGGTCTCACCTTCTCCGCCCGAATGTTAAACCCTAAATAATCCTCTTACATTCAGCATCAACACTTTGACCGGAACTCATAAAAGAGGCGCTATTAGCATATCAGTACAACTGTGTTTAATCCGTGGGTGGTCTGTAGGGAAAATAACTGACATAATAGAAGAAAACTGACTGTAGTTTTCTAATCAGCATGCCAATTTTAGTCTAAGTCAAGTTAAAACACGGACTTAACAGAAACTATGTTCAAAATTGATCCCCCAGTGTTATTCTCAATAGTGAATAAATAATAGTTTTACTTTGACAAACTAATTTTGTCCATTGCTTCTACATTATGCAAGAAGATTTCAACACGGTAATACGACGAGCGATATGCTTTGCGATGCAACAAGGGGACAAATAGAGCGGGAAAATTGTCCGCTTGGTGGACGAACAAACACAAATCTATTAATTATCATAGATCCGGCGTTTCCTCACATCGTTCAATTATCATTCATAAATTATTTTCGTAATGTATTGACTTTTAATGGTAACGATTTGTCGGCCCTTGGGCCACCCGTCATTCACTCTGATTTACAGGATGGTCGTGAAGGGGAGAAATGTGTGTTCACTTACTAACTCCACCGCGACATTACTTTCTATCTTTAATTCGTTCTCTCTCTTTCTCTCTCGCTCTCTATCTCTCTCTCCCATTCAAACACATACGCACATGTTTAATAGTAAACCAACGCATAATAATATACTGTAGATATTAAAAACTCAATGCAGATAATAATATTTCGCCATATTTATCTGAAGGGGCTAAAGATAACCTTGTCAGTGTTAAATCAAACTTTATTACTATTCATTTCTTATTTTGTTTTTCCCCCATTCACATACCAATTGAAAGAAAATATGAATAATAATCTCAAATATTAGAAAGAAAATATGAATAATAATATCGAATATTAGTAAAAATCAGTCCTAAACGATTGGTTAAGGGTATGATATGAAAATAATTTGAAAATGTTTCGATGTCGTACAGCAGCTTGTTTTAAATATATTTACAGACATAAATGAAATAAATCAAATTACCATGCAATGTAGAATTTAAGTTCTTCTTTTTGAAAGAATATGATATGAATAAATATGTCGGTTATAAATAAATGAATTTCAATGGATTTCTCTGAAAGAAACTTTCTTTTGTAAACGAATGAAGATAACAGAAATTTGTTATTCAAATAGACTTGCAAGTCACAACAAATTTATTACATATCAGTTTTCTTACAGCATCTTGGATTTCTGGATGAACAAATCTAAGTTGCCGGTGAGTATGATGGCTTACCTACAATTTTCCTTACTGGCTGCTGCATTGGTTTAAGATTTAGATGGATTTCTTTAGATTTTTACGGCCTATCATCCATTTGAAGATTATTTAAAGTCAGACAATATTTTCAGAATTTAAGAAAGTTTGAAGACAACAATAATTTATTGATACCTTATACTAATTAACCCATATCTGTGGGAGAAGAGGTGGATTACTACCTTTCCAACTTTCCCAAACTTATTTGTACGTAAGTGAATATAATTCGAGTTTCAGATTTCCACGTCTGATCGCTAACCATTGCACCATACCCACATCCAAGTTTACCTCATCTGATGTTACCAAGCGGTCACCCATTTAGGTACTGACCAGTTTCAACGTTGCTTAACTTCCGTGATTGTACGAGAACGGGCGTTTCAACGTGGCATAATCGTAAGCCCATATCCGGCTGCATATCATATTGGTAGATGGTGGTGTTTCTATAACGTCGAGCGTTTCGTCGCATGAAAGTTATTCCTCCAGAGATCGGGCTAACATCTTCATATATTTAATTGCAAAGCTTTTTCTAATTAATCACATACCAGGTGTCGTTATATGAAGTGTAAATTGCAATAGTTTGTATTTCTTAATTTGGAATTCTTGCGGTTAAATTGCTTTCTATGTGATCATTTATTGCAATCAATTTTCAATACTTGAACGTTTAATCTTGAGTTCATTACAATATGTTCAAGGTGTTTCTGTTCTAGTCTTATTATGTTAAGTCATACATAAGTTGTAATGAAGAATATACCATTCGAATAACTAATAATACTTGGGAGTTACGATTAAACTTTAATGCAAAGGACTGTGGATTGAAATGGATACATCTCCACAACCCCAACAGCTGAGCTGTTTCGAAGAAACTTAATATTATGCGTGTCCTGAGATTGTCTGATATATAATCATGTAGAATTTTTAAAATGCGATGGAAGAGTAAAACGCACATTGTATTTCAGCAGCTTGTGTGTATTCCGAACATTATAAAAAAGTGTCCTGGGCTCGTCAATAGGAAAATATTGGTAGCTTCCATGGCAACGCAAGACGGTATGCAGCAAGAATTAGAGAGGCAACAAAAAAGAATTAGCTTAGGCAGAAGTATGTCACAAATCATATTTATCTGACTGTGTAAAAGCTAATTCTTATATTTTTCGATCTCTACAAAACTCTTGATAGAATGGTCTGATGAGTCAGTGTTTCAAATGTTAGAATCACAGAGTAATTGCTGGTGTAGTCAGATTTCCAGCATTTATTGGAAGAAGTTTCGTTCATATTTATAGAAATTAAACTATATAATTTTCTATCGAAAACTTGATGCGTAAGTGTTTAAAATTTAAAAATGTCGCAGTCTATGTCAAACAAATTAAAACTTCGATAATTATTGATCAATATTTAGCCTTTTATTTTTATGAGTTTTCTTACTCATGATAGAACGTAAACTATGTCATTTTTCACATATTAATAACTAGAAATATTATTATAATTTTAGTTTTATTCTTAATCATTATATATATATATACATTCTTAATCATTATATATATATATATATATATATGTGTGTGTGTGTGTGTGTGTGTGTGTGTGTGTGTGTGTGTGTGTGTGTGTTTGTGTGCATGTGCACGATAAAAAGCACCCTTGATAGCCCTAGCGAAACACCAAGAATTCAGCTATTTGACAAGATTATGAACTACACCAATCAAAGTATTGGTGAGTTCAATTTCAGTTGAGACCGCAAGAAGAAGACTACTTCAATCACGCGCAGAAACTTTTAATGCAGAAAGGCCTTGCAATTGAAACATTGCACAGTTGTTCACGCATCAGTTCAGTTCTAACATCATTCTATCATGGCATTCATCAAAGAAAATATTTTCTCGTCAAGTATTATTTCCATATTTCTTTCATTAAATATTCTTCAAATTGTTCAGAACTTTTATCGACACTTTGGTTTATTAAGATATATATGTGTGTGTGTATGTCTGTGTGTGTCTGTGTGTGTGCGTGTGTGTGTTGAATTAGATGCAAAACTATACAATAATTATCAATATCGATTTCTTAACATTTTTACTCCTCAGGACATTTTATATTAAATTTTATCGAAAATCATGATTAGTAGGTGTTAAAATTAAGAAAACCCTTGTCGATATCAATAAATATTGAACCTCGTCATATTTAATTCACTTATTATTGGTCTATTCAGATATCCAGCCTTTTATTTTTAGTAATTTAATATATTTTCTTTCACATTCATTGTGTAATTTTGTGGATTTCTTATTTCATTTACGGTCTACTTTTTTTTCTATTAGGACTAAATCCACTTTGTCTTACTTGTCACCTTTCTTCTACCAACACACTGAATTAACATGTTCATTTCTTCTCCGAAGTAACACATACATTTTCTTATACCTACTTTATTATAAGTCATAGGGCGTTTTTATTTGTTGCATTTCTTGGAGAAATGATAAAAGTTTGTTTTTGTTTTTGTTTTTTTTTAAATCCTTCTTTAAAAACTTTAGTAATTTTTCACGGAATTCAAGTTATTTTCACGGTACTTTGTTTTCATTTATTTTAGCTGGTCAAAACAGTTTCAATTTATATAGTTTCCTTTATTGTATGTCTTTTAAATCTTCAGGAATTTTTCACGTAAATTTATTTTTAATTGTGTTTCTTTCAGTTTCTGGTCAAACGAGTTACTTGTATGTTATATTTTAATTATTTATTTTGTATTTTTTCTTTTTATAATCATTAGGGTAAGTTCGTGGTAGATTATCATTTATTTATTTTCCTAAGTGTTTTCTTCTTAAACGAGTTTTTATTATTTTGAAGTTTTCGCATACATCTAATTACTAATTTATATTTACCCTCAACAATTTTGTTTACTTCTGTACAATTTTATACAAGGAAAACATATACACTGCTACTATATTTTACTGTTAAATACCATTATGTCCGACTGAAGACGATCTGTTCGCAAGAACCTATTTGGATCGACCTCTGAAATATATCCACCGACTAAAGGCACCGCAGTAGTATGTACAGCTCTTAAGGACAATGAACAACTTTTAGATGTAAATAATGGCCAAAAATTTAAAATGAATCATACGGGAGCCAACAATTGACAAAATGAAAGAAAAATAAATTACCAGGAAGCAAATCATGAAAAAAGTATGGAGGACCATACTTTACATCCTGACCAAAATAACGAAAATGCTGAGGCTGTGTATTCGTCCTGTTGCTTGAATTTCCCACCTAAATATATAATGAACAATGACGAATTATTGGAGAGAGCCAAGGCCTACGCTCATCTTATAAATGAATGTAATCTCTTTGTAGACCCACAAGAACATAAAAAAATTCAGAAAAAAGTGTGTCATTCTTCGTGGTGGACAAGCGTTCTTGCCAAAATTATCGCTCCACGAAAGGAACAGTGGAAAGATCACTGGAGGTTTTGTAGGTTCAAGCCACAGAGTATAGTGAGATGTATTTCTACTCACGTTAGAAGTCTGTGTTTAAATGAGCACTCGAGATCTTTTAACTAAAATTCTGATGTTATTACACCAAGCGTAGGGTCAGCGAAGCTATATTCGAGGTCACTCCTTAGGATACTAGGAAGAATTTAGCCAGAATTATGTCCAGATGCTGGGTGCGAACATCAAGGGATAGAATTTCGAAATTATTTTATATTGTGAAACCTTTCTCTATATCCCCCAATTTATATAGGGCGCCTGAAACTGCAAGTCATCATGACCGGTCGCACAACTTCTTGCTGGATAGGTGTAGAGAGTGGTCGCCTCTCCTCTTGAATATGTCCTCTCGAAGACAGTCTCCTGTCGGTCAATATCCCTCTCAGTTCGCCTCTTTGCCCGCTACTTATCTCCTCGAGATATTGAGAAGTATCTAGCCAGAAGTATGGCAAGATGCTGATTGCAACCATCATGGGATCGAATTTCGAAATGATGTTATATTGTGAAACCTTCCTTTCTATCACCAAATTGATATGAGGGCCTAAAAGTATGTCATCATATAAGTCATCTTGACCGGTCGCAAACCTGTGTTCTGGAAATGTGGAGTACTGGTCACCTCTCCTCTTGCTGCCCAGGGAATAAGGCCTCTGGAAGACAGGCTCCTGACGATCAAAATTCTCCCCTCTGTTCGCCTCTTCGAATGCAACTTTGGCTGCTATGAGCTTCCCGCCATCCGGCATCGATATTTTTAAAGCCCCGGTTGGGTCCAGATTAAAGCCCACATTCCCCACAAAGGCTTCGCCTGCTATTTATGCCGTTTGGAGAAGGAAAACGGAAACTTTCTCGTTGCAGTTGGGGCCAGAATCAGGCACCACGCAGCGAGTTTTAATTCATGCAAGGTTTTACTTTTGGGATCTTCTGTTAATCAACCTCAGTCTGACAAAGCTGGAATATCGGCTTGTATGGCCCTTGTGGCCCATGTTGAAATGTCTCACTAATGATGAGGCATGACTTACCTGACTGGTGATTCGAAAGACCTTTTTGCTCCTCAAGTGACTTTGTTCGGCTGCTTTGGAAACACCTCCAAATTGTATTCGCTGAGGTGAAACATTCCGTCACACTTTCCACTGCAAGGGTTTTGAGAACATCATATTTCGCATGTTGCGCGGAAAGTTATTTGTCCTCATGGCCAGTTCCATTTGTAGCAATGTGGAATCAGGCTGTGCACTATGTGTTCTTTTGTTAACTAGGCCTTATGCAACTCGTGATTTGGACGAAAGGATAGCATGAATTCTATGGGGTCGAGTAATTTTAATTTTTCACTTTTTCTATTTTATCTTTTATACGCCCTATTGTTTTGTGTATCCTTTTTTCTGGTTAATTTTCTTATCTCTTTTTATATTTAAGCTTATTGTTAAAGGCTGTCTATGTTGCTTTTTTATATTTTGTAAACCATAATTGTCTATTATTTAATTTTTCTTTCCAAAACGCCCCTGCCCTTCCCTTTATAAAAATATATATTAAATGGGTTCCAAAAAGACGGTTCGAAAAAAGTTTTTTGGGACAAGGAAAAAGAAAAAATGATACCCCCGGATAAGCAATCCAGCAAAAATGATACTTAATCCGTGGAAAATATGATGGGCGGAAATAGTCAAAATTTATCTGGTAATATGGTGGCCGGAAATGGCCAAAACTTAAATATTGTAATGATAATGGCCAAAATTTAGAATAAAATACGGTGACCGAAAAAGACCAAAATAAAATGATGGAAGAAAAGATTGAGAATATTATGACGGCAGAAATTGTTCCAAGTTCTCCCATGATTACTATTGACAACTTACTATTGACAACAACAAAGATGATAACTCAGTGGTCGAGGAGGAGCCCTGGACATCCCTTGTATGACCAACGGAGTTCCTGGAAAAGCCAAGAGCTACGC